CTTCATTTATTCTGAACTCTTTTGTAGACCAAAGAGGTCTAAATACATGAGGGATGATGAGATATTAATGAAGAGGAGATTAATCAGTTCTGTGAAATTTTCAATTGAAATATTTTCATAAGGTAGAAATACAGAGATGTCCTTTTTTATTATAACTTATCTGGATATTTTTAAATGCTTGTTTCTTTTAGGAATCACAGTGCATTGATAACAAGTGTAGTCCCTGGGGATTATGATGGAGATTCACAAATGGACGTCCTTCTGACATACCATCCCAAAAATCATGCCACCAGTGAATTAGGCGCTGTTATCTTCTGGGGACAAAATCAAACATTAGGTGAATTTGTTTTTGTTTTAATTAAGGGTTTTTAATACTTATCATTGGATATGAAAGGCAAATGTAACTAAATATTATTCTGAAAAATACTATACTTGAGTGTCAGTATTGTAAGAACTTTTTTTTAAGAGTCAGGTTCTGACTTTGTTGTCCAGGCTGGAGAGCTATCGCATGTTCGTAGCTTACTGTAACCTTGAACTCCTGGGCTTAAGCGATCCTTCTGCCTCAGCCTCTGGGGTAGCTGCGACTACAAGCCACTCTGCCCACCTAATTTTTAAATTTTTTTTGTAAAGACAGAGTCACTGTGTTGCCCAGGTTGATCTGGAACTCCTGGCCCCAAGCTACCCTCTCACCTTGACGTCCCAAAGCCCTGGGATTATAGGTGTGAGCCACCACACCTGGTCTGTAAAAACTTTTTTTTAAAGTTCATTTTCTGATTTTTCTTTTCAACCCAGAACTGGCCTGGTGTGAATTCCAGGGAAAAAAATCCACTCTTGCTAGCTTTAAGAGGAGAAAATTTATTAAAGGGTTTTAATGGCTTATAGAATCATTGGGAAGGCTAAAGAGCAAACTGTAGGTTGAGCTTTCATGAACAATCCCCAGAGACATCAGAGAAGGCACTGCCTCTTTTAACTGTCAGAAGTGGCCACTTGGGCAACAGCTGGCATAATGATGCTGGGCCAGCTATGATTCTCACTAGCAAATGGATGCTGTACCTGGTCTCTTGATTCAGTGAGGAGACACTGAGAGTGAAAAAGCGAAAGCACAGCCTTTGTCTCACTGATGCCTTTAAAACTCACAGTGTATCTGATTGGCAAGACTTAACTTTTATTTGGCATCTCAGATGCAAGGATATCTCAGAAATGTTATTTTTGTTTTCTAGTATCCTCAGTGCAGGAAAGCACAAAAAAGTGGAAGTAGAGGTTGAGAGTTAGTCTGCCATATCTAACCCTCTGAAACCTTCAAGTCTTACCTGAAAAGCCATTTAATTTTTTTGGTTTGTTGTTTTTTGAGACAGAGTCTCTCTCTGTTGCCGGGGCCAGAGTGCCGTGGCGTCAGCTTAGCTCACAGCAACCCCAAACTCCTGGGCTCAAGCTATCCTCCCACATCGGCCTCCCAGAGTGCTAGGATTACAGGCCTGAGCCACTGCCCCATCTAAAAGCCACTTAATTGTACCTAAATAGACAGCTTTCCCCTTGGAGCCAGATTTCAAGGAGAACAAATGCAGTTTTGTTTTTTGATCACATTTGGGAATATAAGCAGTAATGTTAATAAATACTTTATATCCATTCAGTCAGTAAATATTTAAAGAAGGAGTACCACGTGCAAAACACTGCTTGTATTTAATCATGAACATTTTAGAGTCAGGAAGTTTTGCATATATTGACTTCTTTACACCGAAACCTTGTTAATTGTCAGTTGCTCTAGTACTAAATTGTGTATAAAGATTCAGCTGAGAGACATTTAGATGGGAGCCTCAAAAGGAAGTTATTGTAAAGTACATTCATTGTATAATAAAATGTATTCTCCCAATATTTTATCTTTACAACTTGATGTCCATGTAAATTAGATTTACAGTATATTATTAATGATAATAATT